CGCGTTGGTGGCCAACGTGCTGCCGTTTGAGGGAGGGATGGAGGGTGGCAGGGCCATGCCTTGCCCCGGGGAGATGCTGGGGTTCAGCGAGGGGCTGACCCGGGGAAGGGACATTGTGGAGTTAGTGTTCTCCTGGGGTGAGAGCATGCCGTGATCCCTGCAGGAGATGAAAAGGAGAGGAAAAGTCACAACAGGCTTTGCCCAAAACTTTAGTGTCACTCAGGCAGCTCCTGCTCCCCGTCCATGCTGCAGAGCTCTGAAGCCTGCAGAGCAGCAGCTCGCAAGCCCTGGTGGTCTCAGCCTTCCCATGTCCACCAGCGCTTCTGGATCCAGTTCAGTAGCATGGATGGAAAGCAGCAGCTTTAGCATCTCCCCAGAAACGCAACGCTGCTCAGGATCACAGCCGCTCACCGGCTAAACCCTGAAGGTGTCACCTTCTCTGGGTCTTACATTCCCGCATGGCTGGAGAAGGACCATGCTCCGACAGCATTCCCCTCCGCCCCAGCCCCCTTGCATATCTCCAGCACAGCCCAGGTCCACAGCCTCACCTCTCCCTGTCCTGCCAGCTTGTCAGAGCCTCTCCCTCCTCAAATATTTTAAGTTCTCCAGGGCAAGGCAGAAACCTGAAGCACGTCTATAAACCTCCACCTGAATCCCCAGGGCCACCTCTTTGCAAAACAAGAATAATCAAGAGCAACAGAGCTGCTGTCACCGCTGGCTCTCAGCCTCAGATTCCTCATGGGGATCACACCTCCAAACCAGCATCATTGACCACCAGTGGATCCTCCTTCCACTGTAGGGAACAAGCACTTTGATTCCTGGATCGCCCAGCCAGGCGCTGGCACGGCTCGGTAGCGGCGGAGTGGGGACGTACCTGTCGATGACGTGGATGCCCATGATGAAGGGCTGCATCTCCGGGCTGGAGGGATAGCAGAGCTTACACTTGGTGTGGGCACTAAGCACTGTGCCGTCACTCAAGGTGAATCGATAGGAGGGGCTGAAGGCCGTGCCGCGTGTCATCACTGAAGGAGACAACCAGAAACACAAGAACCCCCCTTAGAAACTCAAGCCAGAACCCACAACACCCTACAAGCACCAGGAGGAGGATGGAAGGAGCAGGAGAGGGAGAACCTGTCTGGGACAACCACCTTCCCAGAAAACAAAACCACACGTTGGCTAACCCCATAGACCCAGAAAATAAGAGGGTTATGAATAACCACGGTGGCAGAGAAATCCTCCCAGCTGCTTCTCCAGCTCCGAACCCGTGTCCTGCAGTGGGTAAATCTAAATCCATCCAGCACCGTCCTTGAGTGCTCAGAGCTTCTGAAGGGGCAATCACTCAATCACCGGCGTACAACGTACAAGCTGATGAACCCCAGCCAGGCTGGGAAGGTGCAGCAGGACGCTGCCGCTGCAACCCTGGCAGAGTTACAGCTCTCCGGAGGCTCAGTGACCTGCTCCTACGTCCTGCCTTCCCCACATCCCTGTTGTGAGCATCCTCGCTGACACAGAAAAGATGCTCATCAAAGAGCCAACACAGCAAAGATGTTCATGAAAGAGCCGACAGAGTAAAGATGCTCACAGAAGAGCTTCTGCTTCTTCTGCTTAGACATTGGGGACGGCGTTTGCAGGTGACACAGGCAAAAAAATTAAATTAATCATATTTAGCTCATATTTGTCTCAATTCTGTATTTCCTGAAGGGTGAGGGGGAACCTCCTGGCTGGAGGAGCTCCTCCAGCGTTACTCAGCCCTTTCCCCTCTCCCTTTGGCATTTTGCGATTATTATTGCAGCATTTCTTTTTCCAGAAAGCATTTATCCAGCAAGGAGGACCGTGCTCCAGCTTCTCCTTGCAGCTCCCACTGCTCAGCAGGAGCGCGCCAGCTGGGAAGAGGAGCCCGTTACCTTCTTGAAAGAGCTGTTTGGCGTAAGATGGCTCTCTGCCCTGAGGCTGGAAGAAAGCATAGATGCATTTCCGCACCAAATCCTCCCAGCCCGTCCTGCCGGCAGCTCTCAGGGAACTGGTGTCAATGGAGATGATTTTACCTGGGTGGAGAGAGAGAAGCCGCCTTACTCAAGCACAGCATGAGAAGTCCCGCAGCACAAATAGGTCTGTAAATGTGGAAAATGAAGCCATGTCCTATTTGGCGTCAGGCAGCAGTGGCAGGAGCACACAAGGATGTCCTCCAGAAGGAGGTGGAGGTTCAAGGGGTTTGCTTTGGAGCGTGCATCGACCTCTACACACACCTTGGCCAGCTGAAGAGGACACAAAACCCAACAAGAAGCACCTTTGTGCGAAGGGACCCTCACCGCTCCAGGGCCGGGGTCCCCAGGTTCACACCCTCACCCGGTGGGACACCCTGCCAGCCACCTTGCTCACATCCAAGGGCCCTCCAAGCAGGACCTGCCGCCTGCTTTCTCCCTCGACATGAAACACCAGGCAGCTTTGCTGGCTGTCTTATAGCCATGGACAGGAAGCAGCGAGCAGAGAAAACGTTCATTAAGGATTTTCAGGCTGCAGGGAAGTCCAGGGTGGTGATTAACTACCAGAAAGAAGGTCACCAGAATTCCTAGAAAGCAATATTTGGCCGAGAGCAAACCGAATCCGAAAGGTGACGACCGTTTCATTCCCATCAATCGGCAACCGCAACAGCCCCCGAAATCCAACGGAGCAGAGAAGGGCTGTGTGCAGGGCATGGGTCTGGTGTTTGGATCAGTTGAGGTGTAAACTCAGTTGAGGTGCCTCCAGCTGAGGTGTCAACCACATCGGTCCTAGCAGGCAGCGCTGCCATTTGCGAAGGACAGGACCATGCTCATGCTATGGGGTCCTGCACTGCACGGCTGGCCTCACCCCCCCAGGGACAACAACTCCTCCAGAGCCAGGACTCCCCGGCATCGCTGGGACGTTACCTGTGGTGTCTTGCTTGGTCACGAAGGATTCTGAAGGGGTGACGGCTGCCGGTCGAGGGAATCGTCTTGATCGTCTTGCGATGCATATCAGACACGACTGGAAATCTGTCAAAGCAGGAGAAGGAGAAGGGACCGGGAACATGAAAATCAGACGTTACAACCACCACTTGCAATTCAGAATTTTAACTAAAATACCACTGCTGGGCTTGATTGCCACAGCCTGCCCTGGAAGTGTTTACCTCGAGCAATCCCACAGCTCTTTCTAAACTCTATAAAGTTTGCTAGAAAAGAGGTTTCCAGTGATTGGAGAAATTAATTGTAAAGGCTTTTCGGATCTGGCAGTATTGTACAATAAAAGTCAGCACTAAAAGCCAGCAACTGTCGGCTTCAGGCAAAGTATTTGGTCATAAAATACCATAATTTATTCCTTCCAGTCATGATCTCCTGTGTAAACCGCAGTGGATTAATCCAGCTAATGTGCTGGAAAATAATAGCTGGGACACCGAAAGGAGAGTTAGGGCACTTGCAGGAAAGCAACGGCCCCCACGGCGCCGAGGGAACCCTGCCTGTCCCGACTCCCCGGGCAGAGATCTGCCTGGAGGCAGCCAATTCAGCCCAAAAACGTGCGGGCAGCACCGTGGTCTGGCAGCGGTGAAGGCACAAGGGGGGTGTTGGGCACCCATGTCACTCACCGGGAAGTTCCTGCAGCCAACGGGCTTTGGTGGGCAATAAGATATATTAAAATATATTCCTTCCTTAAGAAATACTGACTGCAAGCAGCCCTGGAGGCAGCTCTGGAGGGCTGGGAAAGCCAGGATGGCTGGAGGGCATCGGCTAGGGGAAAGGGGGAGCGAGAATCCAGCAGCGAAATTCAGGCATCTCCCCCGGGCTCTCCCTCATGCCGGGCATTGTCTGTGCCGGGCCAGGAATAGCCCCTCCCAGGCAGCTCTGCAGGGTGGTGGCTGGTCCTCCTCCTGCCTGCACTGCCATTACCAGCCCGGTCCTCCTCCTGCCTGCACTGCCATCCCCACCCCACTCCTCCTCCTGCCTGCACTGCCATCCCCATCCCACTCCTGCTCCTGACTGCCCTCCCCAAGCGCAGGGTCGGAAGC